GCATCTCCAGCTGCTCAGATCAGTGCTAAAGGCTGGCTCGCTGTTGTAGAGACCAATTTAACTGGAACTTTCTACTGCTGCAAACACGGTATGGGGGTGTGGTCTGGTTTCTTGTTAAATGAGCTCTTTTAAGAAACTTTTAAAGTTCGTAAAAAATCCAAAATTGATTGGAATCAGCTCAAACTTTCTACACAACATAAGATCATGTATATGTATCAGATAAAGTTACAAAAATGGAGAATTTCCTACTTTTTATTTTTGGCAAAATTTGGCCCGTGACCCTGTACTATAGTACAGAGTCTTTGACCCGATTTTGGAGCAACTTTAAAAATTTATAAAAAATCCATACTTGATTAGAATTGGCTCAAACTTTCTACACAGCATAAGAACATGTATATGTATCAGATAAAGTTATAAAAGTAAAGAATTTTCTCCTATTCAATTTTGGCAAAATACCATGACCCTGGGTGAAAATGCTAAAGTTAAACCCTTTTATGAATTAATAACATTAATAGTAATAATGATGATACATGAATTATTTATAATAATTAATTATTTTAATTGTTTAGCTTATAATGAGTGGATGGCAGGTCATGGAGGTGCTATTGTTAATATCATTGCAGACATGTACAAGGGGTTTCCGAATATGGCGTAAGTACTAACCTTTAAATAGTAATTATATGCGTGCATTCGTTCAGACACACAGGTGCCGCTAGAGCTGGCGTACAGAACCTTATGATGAGTTTAGCGCTCGAATGGGCGGATTGCGGTATTAGAATCAACTGCGTTAGTCCGGTAAGTGTTAATAACTACTAATAACTACTAACTATTAACGACTACCAGGGTATAATATATTCTGAAACAGCTGCTAAGAATTATGGAGGTCGTCATGTTTTTGACGAAGGTCTTCACATAATTCCGGCCAAAAGACTCGGAATACCTGAAGAAGTATGTATACAAGACTAAAGTACATGTAGTAGTTTAGTACTTCTATGAAAATTAATATGCCAGTAATTAAAAGCCACAGAATGATCCCCACAGAAGCCATTGCTGTCTAAGTACATATGTACTTTCTACCACAAAGTGTTTCCTAATTGGTCCTAGAGGGGAAGATCATGAGATATGCTGGAGCCACAAGAATAACTTGCTGAGTGATTGTAATAGTGTATCAATAATGTATTGGGGGTTTTATATTGGGAGGCTTGAGCAGCTGCTTCACAAGTGAAGCGAATTTTATGATGTGAAATTTAGCATAGAATTGCCAATCATAGAAATAGAACCAATTCTTATTGTTTTTGTTTAAAGAGGCTACACTGCACATATTACATTAAATTGTCCCCCCCTCTCTCTACAGGTTTCAGGTGCTGTGTGCTTCCTTCTCTCACCAGCTGCCAGCTATATCACTGGTACCACCATTAAAGTTGATGGAGGACAATCATTTTATAGATCACCCTTCACTATACCAGGTGCTACCCATAGTTAAAGATACCTATACCTCTATTAGTTTTAATGTACATTGTGGAGTTGGTTCTTATTGGACACTCCATAGATCAACATGTGTCATATTGGTACTAATGTTTTTTATTTTATTTTTAGAACACAATTCCTTCCCTCCTCCACTTGAAGACCCTGAACTCAATTCAAAATTATAATCAAAATAATTTTTAAGTACATTTTTGGTGATTGGGGGATTTTGATAAGTTGCCTCAATTCCTCCTCCAAAATGATGAACTATCATGAGAGTGATGTGAAACTATTACTATAGGGCCACCAAATGACACCTAACGAGATATTACTGTATAGCTAGAAAATTTGGTGGATTAAAAATTTGGCAAATTGAAGGTAATTCGCCAAAAATTTTAGTCTCCAATTTGATAGAGTTCCATAGAAGCATGCACATAGTTAAAATTTTAGTCTCCAAACCTCTTTTAGAGTAACACTCCAAATTTTATGGCTATTGTGGTATTATCCTTTTGATAAATAAATGTAAACAAATCAATAACAACAAGTGTGTTTGTACATCACTACAACAGCTAGAAGCACTGCTATTATCAACTAATGGACAGTTTATTAGTTAATGATGAGGTGGCACTGTCTCTCTAATATTTAGGACGATCACCTTGAGAGAGTTTACCGTAATCCACCGCCTTGTAATACTGAGGAAGAGGAATGGGGAGATATTGATCATGATTTCTGACTATAACCCCCTTACTTTTAAGTTCTCGTTTGGTTTGACATTAAGCCAAGGATGTGGATTGCTGCCTCGTCTGAACCTAAAATGACGATAAAAAAGACATGTACATGTACTGAATACTTGTTATATTAACTAATAAACTATAGGAAATGTCCAAATTCATTTCATAAGTACAGGAATGGTCTTGTCAGCCCAGTGTATCCGACCACACCCAGTAGTACATGTAGGTGGGTAATTTATGAAACAGAAAATTATCAAAAATAGATCGACAGCTTTTTATTTAAGCTACACGATACATAAATACATATACTATTGCAAAGTAGTGAGTGCCAGAGTAGGTTGAACTCACGAGACGTCAGAATAAACATTACAGGCTCTGAGGATTTGGAAGGCAGCCATGCTGGCACCAAGACCAGTGAAAAACACAACAGGAATGACCTAAAGGACGTAAGAGTAAGGTTAAAGCGGGCCCTAGCCCTCTCTTACCGCTGGGTGAGATTTGAGAGTCCTTATAAACTTGCTCATTTTTGTTTTCTCTCTTCTTTTAAAAGATCACGTGATCAGCGGCCACGCCTACTTCAAGATGGCGTGTTGCTTTGTTTGTAAGCTGAGGTTTTAAGAGCTTTTTGTCTCGTCCTGGAGACTTTGATTGGGAATGTGCCCAATAAAGACTCAATTCAATCAATAAGTCAATCAATTACTGTATATAGTCAGTCTCAACACGACAACTGATGGTTTTCTAAGTTTGCATTTCTCACATGTTGAAGTTAATAAAATGGGTTTTTTTAGTTTTCACAGATTTTGCGACAATGGAACTAATGGGTTTTTGCTTGTCATGGATTTCGTGACAATGGAACTAATGGGTTTTTGCTTGTTACGGATTTTGTGACAATGGAACTAATGGGTTTTTGCTTGTCACAGATTTCGTGACAATGGAATTCTATAATGTATTAGATCTGCTGCTACAACATACTCCTATCTTTCCCAACATCAAACAAAATATGCCTGACATGACACTGAAAATACAAATATTACACACACTACAAGTTTCCTGTCAACAAAAGTTGACGTACAGCCAAACTACTGTGTTAATAGATTGACTCTGCATGATAGCTGGCAAATACTCATATAAAGACCTCAGCATTTTTGCTAATTATATACTATAAGCCCCGTTTACACTATGCCCTTAAAGCGGTTTGGAACCGGTTTAGAAATAAATCAGTTTACATGTGGACAATTTCAAAACGGTTTAAACCGATTTATCTCAAACCACCTCAGGAGGTGGTTTGAGATAATCAAACCTGTTTAAGTACTGAAGCAGCTGTATTATGTATGCAATGTAGCATTGTAAACCGATTCAACCACAGTTACGTGTGGACACAATTAAGCTGGTTTCTGAACCGCTTTGATCCAAACTGGTTTGTAGTGTAAACGGGGCTTATTATTAAATGTCAGTTATATAGCCCCATAATTCTAGTATAAGGATTTAATTTGGCACAATTTTTGAGCAACTTTAAAAATGTATTTTAAAAATCATAAAAATGTAATTTTGATTAGAATCAGCTAAAACTTTCTACACAACATATGGATTTAAAAATTATTAAAATCATTGGTAGCGAATGGGCGGGCGAGACTAAAAATTAGTTAATTAATGGACAGTTTATTAGTTAATGACGAGGTCTCACGGTCTGCTCTAAAATTTAGGAGGATCAGCTTGGGGTCTTTTACTGTAATCCATTATCTTGACATACTGGGAGAGAAAGAGGAGGAATGGGAGATTATATTAATCATGATTTCTGACTAAACTTACTTTTAAGTTTTCGTGTCGATTGACATTGAGCCAAGGATGTGGATTACTGTGTCGCCTGAACCTAAAAACAAAAAATTAACGTTACCACTATCAACAGCAATTTCTTAATTTATTATACAGCCAATTATAATCAGGCTGCATGATCAAACCAGGCCTGATATCAGACATGGATCATGGATTTTTGGCAATCAGTCGAGATTTAATCATGGAATCGATCAGCCACGATACAATCATGACACAGGAACTGAGTCAGGCCAGAGCAAAAGTCATGATCAGCAATTAGTTTTGGGTAACATTCAGTTCTGAATCAGGCCTGAAAACTTTGTTATGTAGGTGAAGTATCGTGATAATTGTGATTATTAAACTCACGAGACGTCAGGATACTTATTACAGGCTCTGAGTGTCTGGAAGGTTGCCATGCTTGTAGCAAAACCAGTGATAACGATGAGGGGTATCACCTATATAGGTTATAATAGTATTAAAGCAGACCATAGCCATCTCTTTACCTCTGGGTGAGCTCTAATACCTTTTAAAAGCTTGCTCATTGCTGGACTCGCTGTTACGTTAGTTGTGTTTACAAATTTACGCTTTCTCTGTTATTATATATAAAAGTTTAAACGGAAGGTTAAGGTTTAATTAAAGTTTAAAGGTGAACTGAACTCATGAATTCCTGCATTAATACCATTATTAACATTAATTATTATTAAGTGATTTTAGATCACGTGATCTGCTGATAGCAGTCACGCCCAATTCAAGATGGCTGATTGCTCCGCTTTGGAAGCTGAGGGTTTTATAGCCTCTTTACCTCGTCCAGGAGACTTTGATAAAGCGAGAGAAAATGTAGAGCACTTTGTAGCTCATCATGCAAAGGAAGGGAACAAACTGGCCTTTGTTACTGTAAGTAAAAATTATGTAAAATTTATAATTTGCATAATTTATATTTTTGTGATGTACTGCGCATGCGCTGTAGCTGATATTAAGTGGCAAAATTCAAATCAAAAATGGAGAACTATGTGCTCTATGGTGAGATATCGTCCAAGCCCTGGTGCACGGTATTCAAAGGACGTAGAAAGAGAACTGTTGAGTATGTTAGCATTCACAAGTACTCCACAGAACTTTATGAAACTCTCTCTCATAACGTCAATCAACTCAGTCATCTTGACCACACCCACATCCTTCAGTTTTTAGAATGGTATCGCTCGCCCCAACACATCTGGTTAGTGACAGAATTGGCCTCTGTGGGAACACTAGCCGACCTCATGAGTGCTGATGGACCTGTCCCTTTAGAATCAATACCTTCTTTTGTGTCGGATATTTTATCTGGTCTTAACCACGCCCACTTGATGGGTGTGGTCATACGAGACTTGTGTCCAGCTAAGATTTATTTAGATGCTTGTGGTAACTTGAAACTGTCGGATTTCTCTTTAGCGATAGATTTAAAGAAGAATAAAGACGATGATGATAATATTAATGTAATGAAGGATATTGAACAGTTTTATTCATCAATAATAAATATTAATGAGAAGTTATTAGTACAAAATAATGATGCTGATTCAACTAAAAGTGTCGATATTCCTGGAGTAAATTCATTAACACAGCAACATTCTATTCAACCTCCTTCTAATCATAAAGACTCAGCTCATTCTCCTTTGCTTGCTTTAAATGCTCATCATTTCTCCTCGCCCAGTCTCCCCTCACCATTCTACCTGTCACCAGAGTCCATTGAACACTCCTTGTTCTCAATCGGGACTGATCTTTGGTCCATTGGTGTCATAATGTATGAACTATGGACTGGGAAGTGTCCATTTAGCGGTGACACTCACACTGATCTAGTCCATTCTATCATCAGTTATGAACCAGTTGAAATAAAAGAATGGAGGGAGTCCAATAGTACCAGTAATACTAGTAGTAGTAATAGTACTGGTTTAGAGGATCATTTGCTGTGTGTTAGTTATCAAGTGATGAAGTTAATGTGTGGTTTATTAGTGAAGGATCCTAGTAAGAGACATGGTTGGAATGATGTCATACCTATTGAAGGACTCTGGAATAAAAAATGAATTAATTATAATCATTACTATTATTGTTTTGTTATTGCTATAGTATCATTGTGTGTGTGTTTAAGTTTTAATGAAAGAAATTCTCAACTATTAACTGAGCCAAATATATAATATGATGTTACAGTCAATTTCCAATTGAAAGTGTGGACGATTTAACCTTTTGATGCATGTTAAATTTAACTAGACTGTAACTTTAGGACGAGTGTAATAATTATTGTAAATCTGCTTTTATGCAAACTTAATTAATTAATTAATTATAATTTATTAATAGAGTGGTGGAACTATGGTACCACTTGAGATGAACACAGTCCGTTACCTTGACAACTTCAGTACAGGAAGCAGAGGAGCAATATCAGCAGAGTATCCTTGATAATGTGTGTACATACTTAATGAGAAAATGTAATAAAAATATGACGTGATTTCGGAGCAGTTTTTTAGAAAAAACCATGGGCTATAGCCTTGGGTATTTTTCAGATTTTTGATGTTTTCTTAAAATGGCCGTAACTTGAAAAATTGAAGTCGGAATCAGATCAAACTTTCTACACAGCATAAGGACATCAATATGTATCAGAAAATGTGATAAAAATTTGGGGTGATTTTGGAGCCTTTTTTTTGGAAAAACCATGGGCTATAGCCTTGGGTATTTTTCAGAATTTTGGCGTTTTCTTAAAATGGCCGTAACTTGAAAAATTGAAGTCGGAATCACCTTAAACTTTCTACACAGCATAAGGACATCAATATGTATCAGAAAATGTGATAAAAATTTGGGGTGATTTGGAGCCATTTTTTGGAAAAAACCATGGGCTAGCCATGGGTATTTTTCAGAATTTTGGAGTTTTTTTAAATGGCCTTAACTTGAAAAGTTGAAGTCGGAATCAGCTCAAACTTTCTACACAGCATAAGGACATCAATATGTATCAGAAAATGTAATAAAAATTTGGGGTGATTTTGGAGCCATTTTTTGAAAAAAACCATGGGCTATAGCCTTGAGTATTTTTCAGAATTTTGGCGTTTTCTTAAAATGGCCATAACTTGAAAAATTGAAGTCGGAATCACCTCAAACTTTTTATACAGCATAAAGACATCAATATGTATCAGAAAATGTGATAAAAATTTGGGGTGATTTCGGAGCCATTTTTTGGAAAAAACCATGGGCTACAATCTTGGGTATTTTTCAGAATTTTGATGTTTTTTTAAATGGCCTTAACTTGAAAAGTTGAAGTCGGAATCAGCTCAAACTTTCTACACAGCATAAGGGCATCAATATGTATCTGACCATACATGTTATTGTACATTATTTATCTTAACTCAACCAGACAGTTCATATCCAATGGGCTATGCAGTGATATTCCTCCACAGATCCTCCTCCTTGTTACCTTATCACAGAATATTGACTCCACCCAAACTAGACTTGCTGGAGGTGAGTCCTAGTGGTGATGTTGTTATGACAACCAGAGAGGCCATTAAGCCAGTATTGAGCAAGTATAAAATTGTAAGTGCTTTTGTCATTCTTTAAATATAGCTCATTATTGTGTTTAGTTATTATTGTTTATCATAATAGGTACTTTCTTGCAACAAATTATTATTAATTGGATACAGTTCTCTATTTGATTATGTTCACTATCTTCAATTAATAACTAAACTAGTTAATAATATTAATAGTATTGTATTTCTTGCTGCTGCTGTTTCTGATTATTATATACCACCAGAAGATATGGTGAGACATAATTATGATAATCATAAAATGCTCTAATTTTATTTATTTTTTAATATTATTTTAGTCTGAGCACAAGATCTCCTCGCCCTCATTAAAACTTGAATTACAAAAAGTTCCTAAACTCCTTGGGATTGTCAACAATGACTGGGGGCCACTTGCTTATGTAGTATCCTTTAAAGTAAGAAAGAGAGGGAAAGACCAGTAATTAGGAATGATTGGAAGTAAGGTAGAACAATATACAATAAAACAAAAAATTATTATTATTATTGCTAATGTTATTTTGTTTTCAGTTAGAAACTGATTCAGCTGTTCTTAGTGAAAGAGCAAGGAATGCTTTGAGACACTATGGCCACCAGGTAAGAGAAATATGATACCGACAATTTTATAAGTGGATAGAAGTCATTATTTAAAGTATAATGTACACTCATGATACTATTAATTATTAAATACATTATAATACATTATTATCAGCTTGTGATTGCTAATACTCTGTCAACAAGAAAGAGTCAGGTATTGATAATAGAGAGAGACAAGGAGGAGGTCTCCATTGTATTGTCACCAGAGGAGGCAGAGAAGGGCGGAGTCATTGAAGAGAAACTGGTTGGACAAGTTTGTAAAAGACATGGTATCTATATTAATGGACTTGGTTGAATATTTACACTTTAATGTCAACTGCTAACTTTATAATTTTGTGTAATAGTTCTTCACTTTGATACATGTATTTTTATTTGATATTTTAAATTTACAAAAATGAAGATGTCGCAAATTTTATGCTACAGTATATGGGCATGCTCTTTTTTATTTGATTGTTATATTGACTTGTCAAAATGTTTAATGTTTATAAGTTATAGTGAAACAAAAATAGTGAAATGTTTATAATTAATGTGTGATTACTATCATAGTGTTATTATTATTATTAATGTGATCTATCACTAGACCATAGTGTTATACTGAAAATAATGAATGATTATCATCAAAATGTGTGAACAATGCACTGCTGTAAAAACTAGCATGGGATTCTAACAAAAATATTTATGTTTAATTTTGTATTCAAACAATGCTTCATCTTGAATTGAAAGTAATATTGTTGATTATGTGCTCTTGATATAAACAAGCACATGTTTGGACCAGTTTCATACTGCAGGCTAGGAATAGGCAGATTGATTAAAGGGTTCTGAAGTCTCTCCGCTTTCTCAATCCTTTCTCTTCATCAGTAGTAATGTCTGATAGTGTTCCTCTATTAAGCTCATCATCAGTTACTAGTAGAAGGAGATGTTCCTCTTGTCCTTCCTTTTATCGTTTCCAGTTCATTCACTCTAAGGGAGCACTACTGGTACTATTCTGGGACCTCATGATCTCTATCAGCCAGAATTTAGTTATTTTGTGTACTGACACATCCTTTTATTTTCTTATATTATTAGGATTCTGTCTTATTTACTTCATTGCTGGATATTTAGGAGATTTCTTAATAAGCAGATATAAACTTGTTCTGGTTGGATCATATATTACATTTATTTTACTAATTCCTTTGATAATCATCTTCATGCTTCTACCATCATACAACTACCTACTGTCGATATTATGTGCATTATCATTGGTTACTTTTGCAGTTGTACGTGTTAATCTGTTACCATTCAATATTGATCAGCTTATTGGATCATCAAGCAGTGAACTAACTGCAGTACTACACTGGCATAATATTGGACCTATTGTTGTTATTGTTACTGTTACTTTATGGTCTAATATAACAACACTACATCTGTTACTAGCTGCTATTGTCTGTGTATCTGCAGTACTAGTCAGTCACAGTCTCTTCAATGGTTATCTTGATACTACTCCTGTGAATACAGTTAATCCAGTCAAACTGATAGTTAGAGTATTGTGTTATACCAGGAAGCACAAGTATCCTGAGAATCGTAGTGCTCTGACCTACTGGGAGGAAGAGGCTCCTTCAAGACTAGACCTGGGTAAGGATAAATATGGTGGACCATTCACAGAGGAAGAGGTAGAAGATGTGAAGACTCTCTTTAGATTAATACCACTGGTAGTTGTCTGTGCTGTGGCATCAGGGTTGTGTAAAGAATATACTGAAGGATTAGCCTCTCAAGTATATGGATGCAATGACCCAGAAAATATTGACTTCTCATTTAGTATAGCATACGTATCTATCATTTTCTTCCATCAATTTCTGGTATATCCTTGTTTTCATAAGTACATTCCCAGTATGCTGAAGAGAATAGGAATGGGTCTGGTACTAATAGTTCTTCTTAACATCCTTTACACTGGTCTAGCATTCATTGGTAATTATCATTTTGGACAAACATTTCGTTGCTTTACTCTTTACGATGACAAAAACTTATCCATTACAACTCATGAATGGATTATTATTAACATCACTGATGCAAGTCTTTGGTACATGTACAATGTTGTACTGGTTGAGTTTATCCTTGCTCAGTGTCCTAAATCAATGAGGGGAACCATGATTGGATTGCTGCTTTTCTTCTGGGGCTTAAGAATATTTGTTGATTTTGCATTATTTCTTCCATTCCTTCACTTCCTGCATCCTAAGGAGTCCTTGGGTCGTGGATTCTACTTTCTACTTGCAAAGACCATCATGTCTTTAATAATTTTACTGATTTATATATTTCTTGCTAAGAGATACAAGTTGCGTGTGAGAGAAGTTGAAATTAACATTCATCAAATTGCTGAGAACTTTGCCATCAAAAATATTGAACAAGAAGAGAAACATACTAAGAGGGATTCACAATTGGACTTCTCAATCCAGTGAATTGACACAGTATGATCAGAATAACAATAAGTAGTTTGTGTAGGTAGTTTTTTTTTAATTATTAATTTGTCATTCAATTTAAACTGCAGCCAAGGCATATTACATATTGATAGTCAGAAAATTAGTGCTCATTATTATTTTTAATTTGCCACTTTAAAAAATGGTCATAACTCGAAAATTTTGAATCGGAATCAGCTCAAAGTTTTTACACAACATCTTGTATGTATATGTATCATATAAAATTATAAAAATTGAGAATTCTCTCCTTTTCAATTTTGGAGCAACTTTAACATTCCATCTTATAACAGAATTGCTTAAAAGCAGTACAATATTCATAAATAATAATAACTAATTACTAGCATGATATAGCTACTACACACACCACTATCATTATACAATTCTAATAATAAAGTGCAATTTGTAAGTCTACTTGAAATGTTTATCTGAAATCATCAGCATTGTACATACCCTGCAAGAAAAGAGAAGAGAAGAGAAGAGAGAGAGTGACAAATAAAAGGTATAATTATTTTTCAGTTAATATACCTTTGCTCTTCTCAGTATGGAGTCTTTGCTCGGATCATAAGGTTGATCTTTTGATGGTATTTCTAAAATGGCGGGTATGGCTTTATCATGCTGATCAATAATGTGACGTATCATTTCAGCAATCTGTGGAAGAGAAGAGATTTAAACGAAAAAGAGAGAGAGATAGTTTAAACATTATTAAGATTATTTCTTTCTTACATATTGGTTGATTAGTATGATTGCAATGTCAGCCCGGCCAGTAAAAGCTCGGAATGAGTCCTCAATATCTGATACAGGAGTGTCTGTGTATGGATGAGTGTGAACAATGAATGTACAATAGAATAACAATGGGCTACACTCTAACACTAACAGGGTAACATAATGCATCATAATAATGAACCATATCGGCTATAATGTTCTTCTTTACAAGAAATTGTGCTTCAATTTTGTTTCTATTTTCTGCTCAAAATTAGTAATAAATAAGTCAAGCTTTACAACACTGTCCCAAATGACACAGAAACACTGCCATCCTATCACTTCCTTCTCCGCCCAGTATACCCAATACTTTCCCTAACACACGCCAGTAGACATTACAGTGTACTAGCTGACCTTTATTGACTACAAGAAAGTTTGGGTGTCTTTTAGCGTTATATTCTCCTATTCCTCCGAGCAGGAACCCGGTACAGGTGTCCTATAGTCTAGGTATTGAGATACTAGCGGCTATACTGTCTTACCTCGTCTCCTATGATCGCCATCAACTTGTTTGCTGCCTTGCCAGCCATTTTCCTTAGCTTTGCACAATATGGGCGTGGTACAAATAAACCACGCCCAAATTACCATAATGCATTTTTAATCATTGGATTGTTTGTGGTAATGCTGCTTGTATTAACGCATAGATCTAGTAAAGCATAGATCTAGTAAAGCATAGATAGTTCATAAAAGTATCTAATGCATGATTGCACTTTCAGAAATACATGATATGTTATCATGATACAATTAACGCTGCTGGAGTGATGAGTATTGATATTATAACAAAAATGACGATGACCTTTTGGTGTAAACTGACTTTACTACAAAAAAGTTGGCAGCAATCATATAGAAATACTACAAAACAAACTAATTGTAATTTTTTGGGGATTACCATTTTTGATCAGAAATGCACACATACACAACGACTTCACTACTTAACATAAATCTCATAATAACTAACAGGACTGTCTTCATTAGGAGAATTTGCACAGACCCTCAACTCAATATAGTCAGTAGTGGTAGTGCTACCATAGTCTCTGTGAAACCATGGGATACCAGGAACATTACAACAAGGTGATTCACGAGAACGACAACCTTGGCCATCCCAGAGTGGATCAGATGTGTAGAGCCTACGTGATGAACTGCTAATAGGACTACCTGATTCACAGAAGTAGTTATTACCAATAAAAGACTGCACTGCTGCTGTACTACCAGTATTACATGGGCATGCATATGATGCAGAGCTTGATTCACTAATACCAGCCATTAGTGTCCAGACATGTTGACGAGGAGATCCACGAGTGATACTAACACCATCAACATAATAAGAATTGATGTCACTACGATAAGAACTGGTAGGAAGATACACGGCATCAGTGTGACCATATTGATATCCTGTTACTCTACCGCATATCTGAGAATAACTGATACCATTAGATGGGAACTGAACTGATGAACAACCAGTACTGTTACTATTTCTGCCACAAGCTCTAACTCCTCCTGACTGGTACAGTCTAAACCCAGAAGGACAGTTCTGTGTAGCATCGGACATATCCAGATATGCTAGTCTTGTCCATCCTCCTCCTGAACCACACAATGTTCCCATATTACAGTAAGCAGTATAAGTAGCCAATCCATTAATTGATGTTAGTATATAGTAACCTGATGGACTGTTGGGTACTTGATTGAGGATTTGTTTGCATGATTTAACAATTGAATTATTAAACACTGTTAACAATTGTTTAGTAATTAACAATGTATCATCAGCCACTCCAGCAGTAGAGGTACTGGTGTCTTGTAGATTAGAGAGAGTATTGACAATGTTAATGAGCTTTTGTGCAGAATCTCTTGTAGTTTGTAAGATTTGTTTATCAAGTCCAGTGAAGTTGGTATTGTTCTCATGAAATAGTTGAAAGGTATTTTGTGATACACCATTAGCCCATTCATTGAAGTCAGGAAGGCTCCCTGTTACATTGCTGCTAACTTTAGATACTATGTCATTAGACCATTGACTGAAGTTAATGCCACCAGTACTACCAGCAGTAGTTGGACTAGTGCTGGTTCCTGTACTTGTAGCATCTCCTGCAAATGTTTGTGCCAGCAGAAAGACAAGTGTGATGAGTATTGCCACTTGCATTATTAGCACAAAGCACAGCAGGACATTACTAGTAGTACAACAAACTGACCTCTTAGCATTGACATCTTTAGCATCATAGCTCTCATCATTATTTTCAACAAAGCCAGTTTGTTGTGGCTCTTCAAAACTTTCCAGCTGATGCTGTCTACAGCTGCTCTCATGATTCATCGTAGTATATTCATTATTAGACATTCTTGTCATGGGGATCGGCTGGTGTACCTGCTCATAAGTGGGAGCAACGCAATCAATATAATATTCTTCAATATCATCACTGGAGGCAGCACAGTTGTTCATCCTTGAAAACCAAGAGTATTCTTGTGAAAACGTATTGTTTTAGAAAATCGATGTTGTCCGATAAAGACTACCGATGACCACAAAAACAAAATTCTCTATCGTAGTTCATATCTTATAGATCCAGAGCTTGTCATGTATAAGGTTGCATTATGACACATTTCACAAAGGAATTGAGTTATGACCGACTAAAAGTACAGTAGACTATAGTTGTAAACACTCTGTAAATGACTAGTCTTCTTAAATTTGGTCTTAACGCAACAATACAATGGTTTCATTAAGTTTAAATGTCTAACACTGGAAATTTGGATAGTATTATTTTAGGCTTTAAAAAATTCTGTGACACATAGTGATCTCATAAAATCATAACATACTCCTCACTCCTCTTAACATCTTGACATGGCATTGAAAATACAAATATTATACTACGAGTTTCCTGTCAACAAAAGTTGACAGCCAAACTGCTGACATCAATATTTTGTAATGTTAATATAGTGTCACTGTGTTAGTTTGCAGACGTTCGTAAACACCGCTGCATTCTTACAAATACAATTGTACTTTGTTGGCTGATCTAATGCCCATACACGCTGCAAATGTGATTAACAATAACTTAAATCCAATTTAATTAACAAAAGGGAACATCAAGAAACAAAATATGAAGGACATTATTGGATAATGTCATACTACTTAACATAAATCTCATAATAAGTAACAGGACTGTCTTCATGATCAGTACTACCATTAGCACAGACCCTCAACTCAATATAGTCAGTAGTGGTATTGCTACCATAGTCTCTGTGAAACCATGGGATACCAGGAACATTACAACAAGGTGATTCAAGAGAACCACAACCTTCACCATCCCAGAGTGGATCAGATAAGTAGAGTGCAGGAAGCCAATATATATAAGTATTCGCTGATTCACAGAAGTAGTTATTACCAATAAAAGACTGCACTGATACTGTACTGCCATTATTACATGGACATGAACCTGATGAATTAGTCATTTCATTATCCCCAGCTATTAGTGTCCAGACATGTTGACGAGGAGACCCACGAGTAATACCTACACCATCAACATAAAAAGAATTGATGTCACTACGATAAGAACTGGTAGGACGATAAACACCATTAGGTGATCCCCACTGATATCCTGTTACTCTACCACATATCTGAGAATAACTGATACCATTAGATGAGTATGTAACAGAAACACAGCTAGCACTAGTACTGTTAGTCCTACCACAAGCTCTAACTTCTCCTGACTGGTACAATCCAAACCCAAAAGGACAGTTCTGTGTAGCATCAGTCATATCCAGATATGCTAGTCTTGTCCATCCTCCTCCTGAACCACACAGCTCCTCCATATTACAGTAAGCAGCATAAGTAGCATTGTTAACATCTGCCAGTACATAATAACCTGATGGACTGAATGATTGTCTCTCCTTAATCTCTTTACAAGAGGTAGGTAAAGCAGTTGAGTCATTGTGTAGTACTAATAGTTTTTGTGCTATTAGTAGTATATCATCAGCCACTCCAGCAGTAGAGGTACTGGTGTCTTGTAGATTAGAGAGAGTATTGAAAATGTTAATGAGCTTTTGTGCAGAATCTCTTGTAGTTTGTAAGATTTGTTCATCAAGCTCAGTGAAGTTGATATTGTTTTCAATTAGTTGAAAGGTATTTTGTGATACACCATTAGCCCATTCATCAAAGTCAGGAGAGGTCCTGTTACTAGCAATATGAGCTATCATCAAGCAGAGTATAGTCACCATCAGAACCAATATAATGGACAGTAGCACTGTCATAACAATGAATGGTGTACTCCACACTGACTGCCTTGCAGCATTAGGGAAATTGATATATTTTGGAATACGATCCACAGTGTTAGGATGTACCTCTGCACGATTAAAATCCTGCAGCTGTATAGGACCTTCTTCATGATTATCCATTGTCGTGTAGTCTTCTCGTTCACCATTCCTATTATTTAGCTGTTCATAAGTTGGAGCAAAGCAGTCAACATACTCTTCATCCTCTATAGCATCAATGGGACTTGATTGGGGCTCACTCATCTTTGAACCTGCAACAGTAACACTTGGGCCCGATCGACAGCCGTAACTGAAGTGACAATTGCACCTCACGACTTAATGTATAATAATACATAAGGCTGACAATGAAAAAGTAGTAAACACATTGATAAGCCAAATCTTTACTCCAGTCAGTATTTGTTAAGTTAGTAAAATAGAAAATTGCCATTATTCATTTGGTCTTTGCGGGTTCATTTTGGATTAACTTAAAATTCAATCTTGAAATCAGCTCAAAACTTCTATGCGGCAACATAAGAACATGCATGCACCAGAAAAAATTATAAAAATTAAAAATTCTCTCCTTCAATTTTTGCAAATTTTGGCCTGAGACACAGGGACTTTTACCCAATTTTGGAGCAGCTTTAAAAATTTGTAAAAAAATCCAGTTTTAATCAGAATTGGTGCAGATTTTCTACGTAACATAAGTACATGTATATGCATCAAAAACTGTAATAATAAAATTATAAGGAATTCTCTCCTTTTGAATCTTACGGTGAAATTTGACTACAATAGTACAGAGACTTTAACCCGTATTTTGGAGCAAATTTAAAAATAAATACAAATCTAAAATGACTTGATCGGAATTAGCTCAAACTTTCTGCACAACATAAGAACATGCATAATATGTATCAGATAAAAATTATAAAAAATGGAGAATTCTCTACTTGTAAAATTGGGGCCCCCCGCGCCGGGCGCGGGGGGGGGGGATGGACTACCACGCCCACTCGTAATTATTTTAAAATGGCGGCTCGTAGAAGCATTTTCTCGCTTTGTCGTGAAATCCTGAGAAAAATAAAAGAAACAGAATCACAAGTAAAAGTCCACCTTTGCGACCTCAACCCTCCTTACCTTCTCCCTCTCTATCTTTCTTCTAGTTCGCATCAAAAGACGCTACCTGGTCCTACTTAAAAAGGTTCATGAGAGAGAGAAAAGGAGTACCAGCTGGACTGTATGACAGAGGAAGAGAAGAGAGGACACTTGCTGCCTTTCTCCAGTATATAACTAGTTCTGCTATTCACAGGGTAAGGCCAATATAATTGTTACAATTACATGCGTGGGCGGACAATTGAGTGGGTGGTATGAATTAATTATTATTCAATGTAAAGTCTTACCACACATACAGAATGCAGACACACAGAATGACCCAATTATTTATGTTTGATTAATTTGAAATGGCAGCATATAGTGACATGTTGCCATTGTGAAACTATGTATTATATCGGAGTGGCCTAATAATATCTTCTATTTCATCTAATAATGGTCATTGTCTAACTCTTTTATGATTATACTGTTTGTTCTTTACAATAGAATCTTAATTGATTTGTAGATCCTTCAGTGATTTTTAAAATCATTGCTGATTTCTGATTCTCCATTCTTCTTGAATCTCTTGATTTTTAACAGCCTTTTCTCTTTGATTCCTTGATTTCTCATTTCTTGATTTCACGATTCTTTAAATATTTGATCCATGCATGCTCTTTCTGTTGCTAATAATCAACCATTTTCTTATTATAGTTGATAAATAATATAATAATAGTATATGTATCATTGCTTCAGAAAATATTGGTCTGAAATTCAATTAACTGAATCTTTACTTATTATAACATTTATTGCAACCAGCACATGCACAGCACATGCTAACAGATTACAGACTGGGTGGTCAGATTGCAGAATGACAGTCACATTGCAGTTATAAATATCATTAATGATACCACAGTGAGTTTTAAGTATATTCAGCTCTTGATACTTGAGCAATACACCCACCGATCACTAGCCAGTAGTCACTGCACACCTCTCACTTGGAAAAGAAACAGATCCAGTACCTGAAGTCTAACAATGGAGGTTGATGATACC